AGGGAACCTGGCAACGCTGGAGGACTGGGAAATGGAGAAGCGAAGCAAGAGGGAGATGCATTGGGTTTTATAAATCACTGTGCAATCTTGAGGCTCACTCTGCTTCATGAAACTGGCGGGACTCATTGCCACAAGATGGAAAATGCTATTAGCTTAGTCCAGGGGTGTCAAACTCGCATTGTCACATGACATATCGCGACTTCCCCTGCTTTGCTAACTGGGCATGGCCATGCCAGCACACGACGCATTCGGGCCAAGAGTTTGACAGCCTTAGTCCAAGGAGAACGCAAGGAACACACACCGGGACAAGAAGCGGAGTTGTCCAGTTTTTTATTTCAAGGCAAACAGCTGTTTAAAAAGGATCCCCAGAGAGAGGGGAGGGGGGCTCATCCTGCTGTGCCCCTGCCAGTCTGAGAGGCCAGGGCCTTCCACTCCTTACAGAATGAGCTTCCTCTGCAAGGGACAAGGCTGAAAGTTCTGGCTGGGTTGGGGGGGGGGGGGGGGCTTCCTTTAACTCCCTGTTGCTCCATGCGGCATAAACAAGTCCGGGGCTGCAGCCTGAGGGACTCTGATGCCCCCCTGGCATTTCAGTGCAGTTTCTCTGCAGATTCTTCGACAGCTGCTCCCAGGTGCAGTGGCTCTGGAGAGAAGGGAGCCCTCTTTTCCACTAAGTCACATGTTTCAGGTGTCCTGCAAAGAGAGAACATGCCAAGCCCGTCTCCTCCTAGAGCCCTCAGGGCCCACCCTCTAATTGGCCTCCAAACTGGAGCAGAGAGGGCCCACCTTTCACACAGCCAAGGATCTCCTGAATCCGCTGAGGCTCATTCCTGTCTGGCCGGCAGCTGGGAGTGATTTCCAGCACGTAGTCAGGGCCATATTCTGTGAAGAACTGCCCGAGAGGGAAGGGGAGGCTGAAGGGAAAAGGCGGGGAACCCTGGCGCCCCCGTCCCTCTCCGGCATATCCCAACAAGGCCCGGGGTTGCTCCATGAGGAGAGGAAGGCCTTTCCTCAGGAGCCAGCCTGGGGTCGCCTGTGCGTGCCTGGCAGCCCCGGGCCGGCCTCCCACTCTGCCCCCGCATTCCCAGCCCCGGCCTGAGCAGCGGTGAGTTCTTCCGTCCTGCGTGTGCTGCTGCAGGGGTCTCCAGCCTTCTCGGCCACTGGAAGCTATTTTCACAGCCCTTTTCCTGAGCTTGAGCCTTACCTCGTGATCGGGGATTTCAGAGGGCAACGTCTTCCCCAGAATGACTCCCGTCAGGTATGTCCAGCAGCGGGCAGTGTTAGCAAGGTGGTAGCCTCCTGTCTCCAGGAGGGAACAAGACACCGCACCACATAAGGAAGAGGGCAAAGGAGAAACAAAGCCCTTGCCCCGCCACTCCATTCTGGCCCCCGTTAGAAATGCACAAAGCACTGCCCAGCTGCAGAAGCCGGCCAGCTCAGTGGCACAGACAGAGGACAAGCCACTTCACTGACCCAGCAGGAATCATTGCAGGCGAAAACATTGCACTGGGGCCAATTCACTTTTAACTCTATGCAGTCTTAAGAATTTGACTGTAAAAAGCAGTTTCCAGGCTGCCTCAAGTTGAAGCACCTCCCACTCCGAATGTCAGAAGAACAAGCATTTCGTTCGGGGCTTAGAAACCGACTGTGATCAGCGCAGCCGGCCTTTGGGGCTCCGTCCCGATCTGCGTTTCCCTGCGCCTGCCTGGCTGATGCCACACTTGCATTCTCGCTTGCTTACCTCCCCCCAGGATAAGGGTTGGCAGCTGCCATTGCAGCACATAATTCAGGCACTTGCCGATCCCCTCCGGGGTCAGGTTGAATGCACACATGGGGTCCCCCGCAATTGTATCTGCTCCCAACTGCAGGACTACAGCTCCAGGGTGGAAGGCAGCATACACATCCTTCAGCACGCTGCAGAACGAAACAGGGAGGGAAGCTGCTGGACCCCCCCCATCTCCCTCCTAAGGGTCAGCCATCCCTCCCTCCAGGCTCCTCCGAGGATCCTTTGCCCTGCTGCGGGGGGGACAGGACACAAAGACCCCCTAAGAGGCTACACGAAGCATGCCGGCCATTCCAAGGGCCTGGGAAGGTGGAGTTCCCCTGTGGGCTGCCAAGTGGGATCACCCCAAAAGAGGATGAAACAAAGTTGCATGGGGAAAGCCGCCCCCCCCCGCCCCACCGCGCGCGATGTCTCCTGACCCTGAGAGGCCCTGCAGCTGTCCAGGAAGCAGGCCACCTGCTCCGGAGCAAGCAAGGCAAGCTTGGGTTCTGGGGTAGGGAAGGGCCCATCCAGCCTTTCGGCTCTTCCCTCCCACAGGCAGCGGAGGGGCCCGGGCGAGCGGGGGCTTACGCCGTGCAGAGCTGATAGTAGGTCTCGTTCTTGATGCCATCCTGAAGGGGCACATTGACGCTGTAATAGCGCCCCTTCCCCAAGCCCACCTCAGTCACGTCTCCCGTTCCTGAGTAGGCAGAAAGGCTCAGGTTAGCACATGCAAAAGCGAGGGTGGGTCACCCTTTGTCGTCCGTTTCCTTTCCCCCCCCCCCCCCCCAAAAGAAGCAGAACGAGAGGCAGAATCCTGTTTGGTCAAGAAATCACTTGCCTGGGAAAAATCCCGGGGCAAACTTGTGCAGGGACACCGTCATGACTTTGGAGGTGAAGCTGAAAGCGTCCTCGACACCTGCCCAGGCGACAGAAGAGCTCCGTGGGGCCTCGCCCAACGCCTGCCAGGATTCAGCAGCCAACCCTGGGGCCTTTCCAGGCAGGCCTCAGTTAACAGTGGCAACTGGGATGTGACCTCCCAGCCAGAGCATTCCCAGCCTTCACAGACATGGCGTGACCGCCTCAGGGCGGCCAGAACTCCGAGGACTGGTTGCAAGTACCACTTGTTCAGAACAGCCTCTGAACGGGTCGTTATAGGAGCCTCGGTGGCACAGGGGTTAGAGTGCAGTACTGCAAGCTCCTCCTCCTCCTCTTGCGATTTGGCAGATCGAATCCCACCAGGCTCCAGGTTGATTCCTCAGCCTTCCGTCCTTCCAAGGTGGGTAAAATGATTGTTGGGGGCAACAGGCTGACTCTGTAAACCGCTTAGAGGGGGCTGTGAAGCCCTGTGTGAAAGCGGTATACAAGTCTAAGCGGTCCTGGTATTAACTGAGCACCGCCTCTACCACAGGGAGTCCTCGCGTTACGATCACAACTGAGCCCAAGGTTCCTGCTGCAAAGCAAGACTTTTAAGTGAGTTTTGCACCATTTTTCAATCTTTCTTGCCACAGTTCCTAGGTGAATCTGGCTTTCCCATTCACATGACCTCAGGACACAGCAACTGTCATAAATACGAGTCAGTTGGCAAGCGCTTGAATTTTGATCGCATGGCCCTGGGGACAATGCAATAGTGGTGTGAAAATGGTAATGTCGTTTTTTTCAGTGCCGCGGTAACTTTGAACGGTTACTAAGTGAACTGCTGTAAGTCAATGACTACCTGCATTATGTCAGGACATAGGTAGGCCCAGTTTCCCTGAGAAGTTTTAAAGGACTGAGAGAAGCAACAGAAAAAAGTCCACAAACAGGCAAAGGAAGACGAGCAAATGCAAGGAAAGGGCTCCAACTTCTCTGGCAACTGGAAGCCCCAGGATACAACCAGTGGATCAAAGGGATGGAAGAAACCCTGGAGGACATCTAGACAGTCCCCAGTTGGGAAATCCCCTTCGGTAGTGTCCTCAACGGCACCCCCCTCTTTGTTCTTTGGAAGCAGGCAGTGCCAGGGTGAAGGGCTTTACCATCCAGAGTTTCATATCCTAATGTGACTTGACTGTTTCCACTTGCAAAACCCCTTTTTTTCCCCAGGCAGCCCACCCCGGCTTTTCTTTCCCCAGGAGCTGGGGCCCTTTAGCTCCCTCTCCCTCGGTCACCTCCTGTTTTAGGTTGGGGAGCCTTACCGTCCCCGTGATGCAAGTCGAGGTCGACGTAGAGGACCCGGTCAAATCTCCGGCGCAGCTGTAGGATCCCCAGCACCGCATCGTTCAGGTAGCAGAAGCCGGAAGCTTCGTCCCTGCGGGGAGACGTTGCAGCTCCGCCAGGCCGTCCGGGCGCAGAGGCAAAGGGCGCTCCCCCCCCCCGGCCCCCCCCCGCCCGTACTTCTTGGCGTGGTGCCAGCCGCCGGCCCAGTTGATGGCCACCCGGCCCTTCTGCTCCACCAGGCACCGCGCCGCCGTCAGGGTGCCGCCGCCGACCGCCGCCGCGTACTCGAAGACGCCCTTGCTGGCCGGGCAGTCGTAGCCTGCCGGGGAGAGGAGGGGAGAGGCGAGGAGGGGGCCCAATCAGCGGAGCAGCGGGGGGGGGGGGCGCGGGGGGGGGTCTCCGCCCGCCGCTCACCGAGGCCGAACTCCGCGGAGTCCGGGTGGTCCTCGTTGCCCTCCTCGCTGACCTGCTGCAGGTGCTGCAGGTAGGCGTCGGTGTGGAAGGCCGCCATCTCCTCCATGCAGGCGGGGCGCGGCTGGACGACCCTAGGGAGGTAAGGCTCAGGCGGGCGGGGTCCGCGGCGAGACCCCCGCCCGGCCCGGGAACCACGCCGCCCGCCCGCCCTAACCTCATATGCGGCAGCAGCGAGTAGGCTTCCACCAGCGCGTGCACCATGCTGGCCTGCGGAGAGACGGGCGCCGGCTGAGCAACTCCCGCGCGCGGGGACCGCCCCCCGTGCCCCCCCCCGGGGCCCCACGCACCCGCCGCGGGACCTTGCTCATGGCGTCGCATCGCGCCACGTACTCGGCGCCGTACACGTAGACCGGCGGCGGCGGCCTCTCCATAAGCGTCCCGGGCCGAGCGAGCCTTGCGCGCGCTTCCGGACGGGCTTCCTGCCGCGCGGGGCGCCGGGAAATGAAGTCCTGCTTCACCGAGGAGCCACCTCCCCCCGAGGTCTTCGGCTGGCAGCCAAGCTAGAAGGTGCCGCTCGGCCTGCCGGGCCTGCCGCGCAAAGACGACGCTCAGAGACCGACTGTCACTCCAGCTCAGCGGTTTATTGAAAGCCACGCCAGGCGCCAGACGCGCAGCCCGCGGCTCCCCACGGGGCCAGAATGTGTGGCGCAAAGCCAAAGGGGGCCCCTCCGTGGTGGGGGGCCTCAGGAGCCCCGGAGTGCAGCGGGTGAGCCAGAGCGGCCCCCAAGCACCCCACCCAAAGGGCTCCCGAGGGGGACCAGGGGTGAAGGGGGCCAAGAGGGGCCCCTCCTGAGGTTCTGCACTTTGCTGCCATCAGCCCCCTCCCCAGGGAAGTCCCCTCGCCCAACCAGCCCCTGCCACCCCCACCCCCCTGCAGGTGCCAGAGATCAGGGGCTTTCTGCCAGAAAAGACCCTCTGGCAGGCACGAGTGGCCTCCCTCCCAGCAGGGAAGGGAATGGCGTTGCCCTCCAGGTCCCTTCAAGGGAAGAGGAGCTAAGGGAAGCCCCTCAAAGGGAGGGATCCTCCCGGGGAACAGAGTGTGGCTCCTGGTTCAGGTGGAAAGCAAAGTCCTCCAGCTTCCAGAGCCATCCAACAGCAACCCCTGGCTTCTGGTCTCAGGAGAGGGAAAGGTCTCGGCCAGGCCCCTCCGAGTCCACATCTGGCTGGCTGCAGTTCTTGAAAGCGGCTGGCTGTGCTGCTGGCTTCCAGGGTGCGGGGAATTGCACCCCAAGGGGGCTCTTGGCGCTACGGAGCCGAGACGGCTTCACTGCGTGATGCAGCCACCGCTTGGGAGGAACTCGTGCACGCAGGTGGCCACAGCTCGGGAGAGGTAGGTCATGCTGCCAAACCTGCCACTTGGCGCACTGTCGTAGAGCAGCTTGCAAATGCCAGTGGCCGGGTCCCTCTCCAGCATGGGGTCATCGGCCCCCAGGATTTTCTGGTTGCAACGTAAGAGGAAGAGAGTGTCATTGCCCAGAGCCCAGGGCCAAAGAGCCCCCCCCCCCCCCAACCAAAAAAAAAAAAACAGAGGCTGGTGTCTGCCACAGGCCCGGCTCTCTTTGGCTGGGTTCATGCTCCCATCTGCTCCAGCCACAGCAGAGAGCCGGAGGGCCCAAGGACTCCGGGCTCAGCTTTCCGCCTGCTGGATGGTGAGCAGTCATGCTCCAGAGCCTTTGCTCCCTCAACAGCCGGGCCCCGCAACCGGCTCTCCTCCCTGGGCCAGGGAAGCCCTAGCAACACGAGGCCCCAACCTGCTCTTGGTAGAACAAGTCGTTTGCGACGTGCACGATCCTGTCCACGGCTACCAGGCCTCCGATGCTGGGACCCTCAGCATCTGTCAACAGCGTCAGGACCAGGATAGCCTCTACAAAGAGCTGCCGGTACTCGGGCTGAGGGACTCGGTTTAGCACGGACTCAACGTGGACAGCAAACTTGATTTCTCCAGGAGTCATCTAGGGCCAAAGGAGGCCTCTTTTCAGTTGAGCAGACCCTAAACGGCCTCCAAATGGGGCTCTGGGTCAGGAGGAATGGACAGCACCCAATCCAGGGCAGAAACAGGGGAACGAGTCTTCCTCCAAGGCAAGGCGGTCTGGCCTGGGGTAGCCGATAGGGCCAGGAGGAGCAAGGGAGGAGCCTCTGCAGGCACCATATTTGGGCAGCAGGAACCCCCTCCCCCTTAGGGTCAAGGGACGGTGCAGCCATTACCTCTCTGGTGGTGGAAGAAGGGAGAACAAAGCCTTCAATGGAGAGCCCGTGGCACTGCAGGAGGAGAGGAGGGGGCAGCAGTTACCCTCGGGAGGCCCAGGCTGCTGTTTCCACAGGCCATCGAGACAAGAGGGCTCCGCTTCTCAGGGGAGCCAGGAGACCCAGCCTGCAGCCCCAATTCTGCCAGCCACAGGAGCTGCTCAGCCTGGCTGCACCCTTGCAGAGCTCCCTTCTTTGCAGCTTCTCACGCCTGGCAGGCACTTCCACTCAGGTGGCCCACTGCTATGCTGCAGCTGAGATTGGGGGCGGGGGGGGGGGGAGAAGACGGGTGCCACCCCTTCACCTTCTGCAGGATCCTCCAGACCTTCTGGTAGAATCCCACTGGGACTCTGTTGAGGGCCCCATCCAGCCGCCGCCGCCGCAGCCACTGCCCTTGGCGCCCGTCCTTGGCGGAGGAATCCACGGGGGCCTGAGTGGGATCTCTTCTGCCTGGAGCCAGGAAGGATCCGGACAACTGCGGAGGAACAAGCCAGAGGGTTGGCCGTGCCCGCAGAAGCAGCTTGTGGCCAAGCAGCTCGGGAAGGAGGACTTGCCTGGGCAGGGCGTGCTCCGGCCTCCAAGGCATGCAGGGCCGCAGCCTGGAAAGAAAGAAAGACCAGTTGCAGCCCTTTTAAGAGAGCGGGGGCAGCCCCGGCCCCGGCACAGGGAGGAGAGAACGTGGCGTGAGAGCTGAGTGGACACTGGAGGCTACGGCTGGCTCTCCTGCTAAAAGCAAAGCTGTGAGGAAAATTAGCAGGCGCTCTTTCTTCAAACGCCAGCACGGAGGAGGGGAGAGCTGTGGGCTCTGGGAAGCGAAGTCAAGCAAGCACAGGCAGCTCCAGTCCAGACTTGTCTGGTGGCTCCCCTGGAATCAGAAGGCAGGCAGGCAGGCAGGCAAACCCAGCTCCGTCTGGAGGCCCGTGGGCTGCACCATTGCTCCCCGCTTCCCCTGGCTTCCTGGAGCATGGATCCCCGCCAATTGGCCACTTCTGGGGAGATGCTCGACAAGGAGCCCTTAAAAGACAGGCAGTCTGAAGGGAGCCAGCTGCCTCCACCACCTCCGGAACTGGCTGGAAAGGGGAGCTGAGCCAAGGGGCTTCCCCTGGTTTTGCCAGGGAAGCCCCGCCCAATCCAAGCCAGCCCACCCCTGCTGCTCCCTCCCTTCCGCCAGGAGTAGCAGCTGCATTTGCAGCACCAACCCCATCCCACTCAAGACCCTCCGTGGCGCCTGCAGGCCCAGGCACCCCCTGCAGGAAGGGGAGAGAGCCCCGGGTCAGTCAGCTGCCCCTTGACAGGGGCACGGGGGGGGGGGTCACCTGAATCTGGGCAAAGACCGCCTACTTTTATCCAGTTGCTAGAAGAGAAAAAAGGTGTTAAGATGTGGAGAGGGAGTTGCTCTCCCTGGCGCTAACACTCCCCCCCCCCCACGCAGAAGCCCAACCCACCTGGAAGACGGGGGCAAATTTTCCCGGGCCGGGGCAGTTGTAGCCTGCCCCAGCCATTCCAGTTCTGCCAGCCACCGTGAGCTCCCCTCCCTTTGGTTGCCCCACAAGGGAAGGAAGCCCCCGTGCCTGCCTGGGACTCAGCGGAGCAGCTGTCTGCCAGGGTGGAGAGACCTGCAACTTCTCCAGAAATTCCCCTTTGCCAGCCCCGGTGGGACCAACGCTTACCCTCCCCTGCCTTGGCAAGGCCAGGCAGGAGCAGCCCACCTGTTTGATCTCACTCTTGAGCTTAACGATGCCGGCACGCTCCGACTTCGTGGCTCCCACAGCCCCAAACTCCCGGATGGAAACCGCTGGGGTCAAGGTGGAATCCGTAGCCCGCACTGCAGGAACATCAGGGCCCAAGACTCAGAACGCCAGCCTGGGTTCCCGGAGCTCCTTCAGCAGGTGAGGTCAGGTAGCTGCGCTCCAAGTCCCGGGATTCCCGAGCTGGTTGCCTCCATTTGGGCTGGCTCTCTTGCCCCCCCCCCCGCCCCCACCTGAGGCAAGTGGCTCACCACTTCGCTCCACGCCGAATTCTTTGCCACTGAGGATGTGATGAAGAAGGTTCTTCATATGGGAAGGGCTGAGGCTCATCAGGCTTTCGGCAGCTTCTTCGCCTGAAGCCAAAGGAAAGGGAAAGGTGTCTCTCACTCCCAGCCCTCCCCCGCCCCCGAAAGGCCCCCGCTGCAGCCCCCCAAGGAAGCCGGTCCCACTCACCCGAGCAGCAGAGCGACTGGGCCAGCTCCATCGCCATCACCTGAATGATCAGCCCGATCCGCAGGCGGAACATCTCCGCAAAGAGGGCCGGCTGCGTCCGGATGTACATAGCGAGGTAGACCATGATCTCCTGCAGGGAGAGGAAGGGGCAGCCCTTGGCAGGCCCGGCCACGGCGGAGCCCCGGAGAAACGCCCCTCGTGGCTTACCTGCGTCAGGATGCAGAGGCTCAAGTTCTTCTCGCTGGCCTCGTCTATCAGCTGGGTGAGCTCCTCATAGGGCAGGGGGCTGTGGGAGTGGCAGGACCAGGGATTGCAAGGAGCCCACGGAGGACCAAGCCCCACCTGCAGCCCTGCCCCCCTTGGGCAGCGGAGCAACCCAACGCCCAGCCTGGTTCTCCTTTCCTGCCCCTCCCCTGAAGGGCTGGGAAGCACCTTGCCCGCCTGTGGGGTCTCCCGGAGGCTGCCGCAGGCCATTGTGGGAAAGCTTGGCCTAGCGGGGCTGAGCCACGCATGACCTGCTCTCCTCCGGGGAAAGGCTCAGGGTGGGAGGCGCTGGCGGGGAATTGCCCACCACCAATGGCTACGTTCCACAACTACAGAATTGTAACGAACGGCTGCTGGAACGATACATTTCCTTCCTTCCTTCTCTCTGTTCTGGAGTAACCAAAGCCATCTAGCCAGCACCTCCCATCCACCCGGGACTCACGCCGAGATGGTCTTCTCTCGAGGCTCTGGGGGCAGCCCCACAGTCAGGTGCTTCTGGTGTGACAAGAGGTCCGTGCAGGCCTAGAGGGAGCAGCTCGTCAAGAGGGCAGGAGGCTCCACGGAGGGAGCCCAGCCGCCCCGGGTCAAGGGCCAGCACCTCGTCCAGGGCCTCCACCTTCTTCTTCAGGATGCCAGAGATGTAGCGGATCAGGGCCCACTGGCAAGTCCTGCCAGCTTGGCTGTAGAGCTCCCCCAGGAGGCCCTTGACGGTGGCCCCGCTGGTGCCATGGATCTCGGTGTCCCAGTCGGGGCCCCTGAAAACAGAACTGAAGCCGGTTAGGGGAAGGGGCTGCCAGCTGGCCAGAGCCAGTGGCTGGTTTGGAGGGCAGCCCAGCAGAACTGGCACCGTGGCTGCTGCCGAGGCCAACCCAGGCCACTGGGAAGGGGCTTCCTCCCGAGTAGCCCGCCTTCCTGGCCGCCAGCAGCTCTCGTCCCTTGGTGGCAGCCCTGCTGGCAGAGTTTTCCAGGGGCTGCCAGGAGAAAAGAGGGGAAGGCTCCTACTTGAGGGTGTGGAGGAGATGCAGGCAGCTGGCTTGGTCCTGCAGGGTCTGGCATCCACGGAGCTGGTTCACCAAGGCCTGGACGTCCACCTTCCCGCTTGCATCCTTGGGGAGACTTGCCTTGCCCGGGAGGACGGGCTGCTTGTGGAGGAAACACAGCAGGGGGACTTGGCCTTACAAGGAAAACTGCCCCAAGACCAGGAAAGGGGGCAGAGCGATGCGGCTGGGCCACTTCCGGGGCCTGGACCTAGGCAGGGGAAGGTGGGAGTGGCCCCCAGGGCCCCAGCCTTCCCCCAACTTGCTTTCAAGCAGCTGTTTGGAGGGAGCCCACGGAAGCAGCCCAAGCCGGCCGTTCAGGAACCTCACCTGGACCTCCTGGTTTGGGGCCGACCCCAGCAAGTGAGCAGGCGGCTTATCGTCCAGGAGAAGCTTGGACGGGATGTACAGGTTGATGTCTGCAACAGAGACAGCAAACAGTCCCCTCCCGCTTCAGGGACTGGCAGGGCTGGCGGCTTGCTGGGCAGAGTAAGCGGCCAGCAGAGCTCAGGAGAAGAGGAGGGTCTTTGGGCCAAGGGACCCTTCCCCGCCCCCTCTATTATCAATTCTCGGAGGCCCAGGCTCACTCTCCACGTGCAGCTCCTTTGCCTTCGACATCAGGGACAGGAGGTCCTGGGTGCTGTGGACAGCAGCACGGAAGCGATTCAGCCCCCCCTTTTGAGCTGGGGGGGGGAGGCAGGCTTGTGGGGCGGAGTGTTGGAGAAGTTGGTCGAGGTACTGGGCGATGTCATCGCAGAATTCAGCTGCAAGGAGGAGCCAGAGGGAGAAAGCCTGAATAGGCTCCCGGGGAGCAGGACTGCCCACCCAGGGCTCTCCTGGCCAAAGGACAGCCGGCCGGGGGCGGCGAGTGCACGTGTGTGCATGCACGCCCCAGAAAGCCCAACAGGCAGGTGAGCCCCTGTTGCGAGGCCTGCAAGGTGGCATCCGCCTGATGGTGCCAGCCAGGCACGTCTTTGACAAAGCAGGGAAGGAGCACCATTTCGTGCCCCCCTCCAAGACGGCCCAAGAGCCACCATGGCCCCTTCCACACTCCTGGGGCCACCAGCTGGCCAGCAAATGATCGCAAAGCCATTTCCCCCAATGTGTCATTGCCAGAGCGCCCCCCCCCCCCGGAAGAAGTCTGACCCTCTCCCGCAAGCCGTAGGCTGAGCGATGCTCAAGCGCTTCTCCAAGGCTGCCAGGGTGACTCACCCACCCGTGCTGGGCCCTGCTCAGCACCCGCACCCAGCCCACCGCCACCTGCATGCATCCCAGGGGAAGGGGAAGCGTTGGCCCCCATTGCAGCCATGCAGCCTCCCTGCCAGTATTCAGAGGTGGTATGGAGGGGGTGACCGCAGGCTGGTTACAGACATTGTTACGATGGGTGAGGAGTCGGAGGAATCCAGAGGAGAGGAGGAGAGGGAGGAAGAGGAGGGCATTGGTGGTAGCAGAAGAAGCCGGCGGAGACATCCGTGGTTGTTGGGCAATGGACGGACGCCAGGAGTGAGCACACCCAGTGCCTGCTTCCCACCTGGCTTAGGGGCAGCGAAGTACTGGCACAGACCCTTTGACGGCTTCATGGGGAAGCCGCTTGGTCAGGTGGAAAAAACCTTTCTGGGATGACCAGGAAGTTTTTCATGCTAGACCTGCCTAGCGGCAACGCACCAGCATAACTGGTGGTTGCTTCTTCCATCCCAGCCCAGGGAGGCCCCAGTTCAACAGGGACCCACTGCCTCCTTTGCCTTCGGCTCTCCTAGCTGAGCAGAGAGACAGCCGAGAGCCCTTGGGGTTCCCCGGGGTGTGAGTGTTGGGGGGACGTCTTAAGATCGGTTGCGAAACCCTTACTAGAGACCCCTCTCCCTTCTGGCCTTCTGCCCGTGTTGCCTCCTCCTCCTCCTCGGAGCTCCCACAGGAACCAGCAGGACGCCACCAGCTCCCTTCAGCCCCTGCCCAGGAGGGACATTAGAAGGCCGGGCGGGAGGTTAATTCCCATGGCTGGCAACCCTGAGTTACGCTCCAGCTAGGAGGCTGTGGTGTTACGGTCTGGATTAAGAGGTCCGGCATTCCTGACCACCGCACACCTGAGTGCAGGAAGCAGGGGTGGCCCCATCTCCTTACCATCTTCTGCCAACTGAAAGCCATGCATCCAGTCCTCGGGGTCTAACTCTTGGAAGCTCTCAGGGCAGAGCCCATAGTCATCCGCATATAGCTTACCCTCCAGCCCTGCATCCATGAAGCTGAGGTGGGTGCGGCACGAAGTGGTGAGGAAGTCAGACAACCTACCGGTCTGGGCCCTACAGGAGCCAAAGTGGAGGGAGAGGGGCGGGTGGAGAGAGTCCCCTGCCAGAGGGCGCAGCATCCCCTCCTCCCAGGGAAGACCCTTGGGGGGCTCATGGCCTCCAATTCCCCACGAGCCCTTCAGTACCCACCCCGGCAGGAAAAGGCGCCTCGGCTTACCTTGCCCCTCCAAAATACCCATCCTGCAACTTCCTCAGTGTAGCCAAGATGGCTGGGTGGAGGGTGGTCCCCGTTTCGTCTTTTCAAAGGAGAAAAAGCAGCCGGGGTTGGCGAGGCCAACGGTGCCCCACCAGGCCTGCCCCTGCCCCCCCCTTTTGAAAGCCCAGCCCTCCACTGTGCAAGCAACGCACCCAGCATGGTCTGCGAGATGGGGAAGGTGATGGTGGGCCGCCCCGTCATGCCCCAGCGGCTGCACAGGTAGGAAAGGTCCGTCCGCAGCATCTCCACAATCATCTCGTTGTCCAGAGCCAGGTAGAACTGCTGCTGGTCAATGAACTGCAGGATGAAATATGCCACGAGAGAACAGAGGAGGGAGGCTCCCAAGGAGAAGGGCAGCGCCCTGCCGGCGGGGGTGGTGGGGGAATTTAGCGGTTGGGGCTTAAAGGGAGGGGGCTCAGGGGGGGGCGGGAGATGCGTGTCAGGCTGTGCTCTGGCTGTGTTCCAGGAATAAAGGGAGGAACTTGAGCCAGCCCTTCCCCACTTAAAAATACAGCCCCCCCACCCCACCCCATACACAGACAAGGTCCTCCGACGCTCTGGAGGCAGCTTCCCTCTGCAGCTGTCTGCCCCTCCCTCCCCCATGAGCGTGGCCCTGCCCTCTCCCCCCTCACCAACCTCAGGAGTGAAGGCAAAGATGTTGTTCCGAACGTCGTAGAACTTGGAAGTGGCAAGCACCCCCATGTGTCGGAGGGGGCGCCCGCTGAGGCCCAGGCGCTTGTTGCAGCCTGTCAAGAGGCAGGACGGCCGGCTCAGCTGCAGAAGCTCCCTCCCCTCCCCAGCTGGTCAAGAGGCAGAATAGAAGGAGGGGCTGCTGGGTGCCAGCCGGTGGTCAAACATGGAGAAGCCTGAACCCTCCCACTGCCCCGGGGTTCTCTCCAAGCCCCCGTTGGGCTCACCCAGGCGGGCATAGATGTAGCTGAGGATCCTGGCTGGCTGAATCCGGATGGGGTGGACTTCGGCCACTGTCTCCACCAGGATGCCCTCCTCACGCAGGATGGCCTGGATGGCCTTCGTCTCGGCCAGGAGGCAGACTAGCCAGGTGAGAGGAGGGCGGGGTTAGGGCAGACCTGCAGGCTTGGGAGGTGGGGGGGGGGCTGGCAGTTGGCAGGAGGGGCAGCCCACGGCAACCACCCAGGGCCCTTCCGGAGCATCAGCCTCCCACCCCCGCCTCTACTATGAGGGAGGTCCTGGTGCAGAACCACCCCGGGAGTCCCCTGCTCCCTCTCACCCTGCACCACCACCACCGGCTTGGGAACAGTGGAAAACCTGCGGTTCAGAGGGTCGACTTCTCCTGGAGCCAGGAATCCCTGCGAGGAGAGGCCTGGATTACGGCAAGGGCCCATTCTGCCCCCCACCCCCACCCCAAGGCCTCCCACAAAACCCAGAGAAGTCTGCTCCTGCCATCGGGTGGACAGAGGTACACTGCTCCTCATTGCACTAATGGGTTCCTCTTGCACTGAGAATACCCCGCCGGGATGCAGGCAAAGCACCTGGGAAAGACCTCTTTGATACCTGATGTGGCTCTTGGGAAGCCAGGGGAGCCAGCAGCTGCAAGGTGCGCAGAGCAGACCTGCCCCAGCCGCCCATGGCTGATCTTCTGCCAGCTGGCATCCAGGCGAGCTCCAAGCAGGCAGCTTGTGCTGAGCTGGGCTTCCCAGGGAGCGGGCAGGGCAATGCCCCCTGCAATCCCGCTCCTGAGGGCTCCAGGCAACTCCAAATCAAGGACGGGGCGAAAGCTCACCTCTGCCATGAGGCAGCCCAGGATGTAGAGGGACTGGGCCCACATCAGGGGCAGTTTGCCCATGGGTAGGCGGTCCACGGTGTGGGGGTGGCTGTATTCCTCCTCAACCTATCAGGACAGACCAAGAAAAACCGGGGATTTGAGCGGCAGACAAAGGCCGGGAGCTGCAGATCGGTTACGCTTGGGTAACACCCTTAAGGAAAGACAGAAGCCAGAGAATGCAAAGCCCTGGAAGTCTATGGAAGAAACTTCCAGAACATTTTAGATGCTTTCAAAGAAAAGCCCGCTTCAAAGGAGCGGAGACAGTTGTGCCTGTTTATCTGCATGCAGAAAATAAATGAATAAATAAAATATAAATAAAGATATAAACGGGTCCACTAAACCAGGGCTCCTCAACCCCCAGCCTGTGGAGCAGCCCTGGGCTCCTCTGGGGGGGCTGAGGGTGGGAAGGCTCCTTTTTCGCTGACCTTCTCCAGGGGGACGCAGTAGAGCTCTGGGACCAGGCGCAGCCCGTTCTTCCCCTTGACCAGGACTCCCTCGAGAGCTTCGCGGTACTCCTGGACCTGAAGAGAGGCGGGGGGCTCTCAGGCGGGGGGAGAGGCTGCTGCTCACCGAGGCCCAGGCTGGTGCGGGTCCCGCTCTCCCGGCCAGACCCCCCCTGCCCCCCCGGGGATGCTCTGGCCCAGCAGTCCGCCCAGCTCCACCTGCTCCGCATTGCCGCTGAAGAGGCCGTCGATGACCAGGTAGGTCCAGAAGAGCGGCCACTCGCATTCTATGTTCTCAAAGAGCTTCAGCTCCGCAGGCTCGTAGTAGAGGCGGCTGGGGTCCTGCGAGGGGCGGGAGGGGGGCGGTCAGTGGGGCAGCCTCTCGCTCCCTTTCTCCAAGGCAACTGGGCAGAGGAGCCTCCGCACCAGGAGCTGCACAGGGCAGAGCCCACTTTCCAAATATTGACCAGTCTGATCCCGGAACAAACCACATTTCTAGCAATAAAAAGTTGCCAACGGCTCAGTCAAGCCCAGGTCAACTTCCACTCGCCCTGCAGTCCAGGTATGCAACGGCTTCACTTCTAAAAAGGCAAAGGCTCCCCCTGGCTGCGTGTGGGGGCCGAGCTGAGCCAAGGGGCCAGCAGACTGCAGGCAAGGCCTCTTGGGGCCCAGAACTGGCACGCTGGAACTTACCTCCTTGGGAGTTCGGTAGCCATCACGGAGGAACCGGCAACAACCGTAGCGGCCCTGAGAACAAGAGGGGATACGTTGAGCTCTTGGGCAGCCACTTGATGGGCAGCTGGGCCGCCCCCATCGCCACAGCCTGGCAGCCCAGGGCAGCAAAGCTTGCCTGCAGCTTGGCAATGATCTCCTCCTTGGTCTTCTCCACCACGGCCGTGTCCTCCACAGCAAACGCCGGGTAAGAAATGATGGAGAGGAGACTGGCATCGATCTCCTTGGAGGTGGAGGCCCTCGGCAGCATGGAGTGCAGAATGGACTGCCAAGACAGAATCAAAGGGCCCTGAGCAAGGCCAGCCGGCCACCGACCATGTCCAGATGCTCTGGGCTGTGGCATAGGACGCATCCCGGTGACCCCAGGCGCTGACTGGAGGCCTGGCAGGCCTCGGCCAATCTCAGCTGCCCTCAATCCAAGGCCTCCCGGAGACGGGGTTCAGCCTGCCCCTCACCTGGCAATACTGCACCTCATCTGGCAAGACGTGGATCACGGACTGGGGACCCCCCTTGGCGCCAAAGAGGTCACATTCATCCAAGGCCTCCAGAGCTGCCTGAGGAGCATTTGGAGAGAACGGAGAGCTAGCAAGGTGGGCACAGTCCCCCCTTACTGGCCCTGAAACGCCTGGCTCACCGAAAGGCTCAGGCAAGGAAGGGCAGGTGGCTTGCTAACAACACCCTCTCCTGGCCGGAGCAGAGGGCACTGGGGGAAACGCCTCTGCCCTGGGAGTCCTGCAGCTCCCTGAAAGTGGGAATAGCTTTGGGGAGCACATTCTACACCTGCTGGACCCTGGAAAGCCTACCGGGCACGCTGCCTCCTGCTCTGCAATGGGTTTGAGCCCCTCCAGCAGCCCAGGGGTCCCCTCACCTTTGCCATGCCCACTGAGCTGGCATTCAGCTCCGTAATTCCTTGGTTGGTCTTGTCACCACGTTCCCATATCCCAAAGTCCTGCCAAACAACATGGAACAGGAGGCGATGGCTCGGCGGGGAGGTCCAGAGCATTCAGCTGCCCAGCCAGGGACCGGAGGAGGCTTCCCTGCCCAAAGTGGGTACCCAGCCGGGCTGCCAGGTTGTGCCCCACCTGGCTTGGACTCCACCCCCAAGCCCACAAAAGCAACAAACATCCCTGGGAAAGCAGCCGTGCTTTTTCAGCCGGGTAGCCGCTTTCCTCCCGCTTCTTCTGCTGGGTGCCAACTGGCCGAGGCCCTTTGCCCTTGACTCCCAAACGTCCCTGCCGATTAAAGCCGTTCCCCACTGAGCCTGCCTTCGGGAAACGGGGCTGCCCATGGCTTGCTCCCCTCAGCTTCCCACAGCACCAAGCCGTATGCCGCTCACCGCAGTCTTGTATGCGGCCTCGATGTAGAAGACCAGATTTTGGACAAAGCTGACTTCGTCCAGGCTGTGGATGATGTGAAGCCCTGGAGGAGAGAAGAGGCGAGGTGCAGCTGGGGCCCCTCCCTCCCGGGCGCTCTGCCGTGCCCTCTTCCCGCCTACAGAGCCCACCCCTGCCCCGAGAGGCCGCCACGGGAGGCCTTACCAGAGGCCGTCATCTGGGCCAGCATCAGCAGGTAGAGGGAAGTGGCGTCCAGCTGCAGGTGGCCCCACTGCTCGTCTCCCACCACGGTGGCACAGGTGCACGTGTTGTACTTGGCGTGCAGGCAGTCCTTGGGGCTCTGGCTGTACTTGAAGTCCTCCACTTTGTCCACCTGGACAAGGAGCACGTGGCCAAGAGGAGTTGGCTGCCCTGGCATTTGGCCCCAGCGAGCGGCCTGGCAAGCCAGCTGTTGGCCTGCAGAAGGCCAGGGCCCCACCTTCGCCCTGGGCCAGGATGGCACAGCCCGTGCCTGCCATGCTGCCCTTCGAGAGCCCTACCTGCCGCATCATGCACTGCAGGAGGCCCCTCATCAGCTTCACCACGCTCTGCAAGAGGAGGAAAGGGCAGAGCAGCGTTTGGAGGGCGGCCAAAGGGGCGAGGTGACCTTTCCGAGGTCCAGCTTGTAACCAAAGGCGGCTCATCTGCTGCAGCCTGTTCTTGACTTGCTGAGGCAGCCTGGCTATCGACACCCAGATCTCTGCAGCCTCATTTCCTGCGTTCATGCGAGGCAACCTGTCACCCCCCCCCCCCCCGCTTGTCTTGCCATCATAAATAGAAGCCCCCGAAAGACGAGGCAGCAGCTGGAACAGCGGAGGGACCCTTGGGCTGCCACTCGGGTTCCTGGGCTCGATTCCAGCCAGCTGGTCACTGACACCCCAGGCACCTGGCCCCCAGGGTGGGTGAGGAGCGGGGACGGACCCTGCGTGGCAGAGCAGCCGCCCCAGGCCCAGGCGAGGACAGAGCTCAGTGGACAGCGCCGGCCCCGAGATCCAGTGTTACAGCCTGACCTTTGCAGGCAGGAGATAAGATGACCGGGGTCACTGCAGGGCGTTCGTGGTGCCAGGAAGGAGCCTGCTTGTCCCAGGCTCCCTCTTCTTGGCAGTTCGGGCAAGGCCTGTTTACTTCCAGGCAGCCCTTCCCCTCCTGCACGGCTCCTGGGGGTCACAGGGCGCGTCTATCCCCCAAATCTCGCCAGTTTAAGCTGTCCTCCTAGGGAAACGCCCCTCAGCCGCTCAGCCCCACAAGAGGCGGTTGGTCGGGAGCCGTTCTGGGCTGGCCAGTGACAGAGGATGAGGGCTTCGCCGTGGGCAGCCAGCCAGCCCCACATCCCCCACCCCCCGCTCTCCACTGCGAGCAGTTTACCTGCTCCAGTTCGTAGGCTTTGGCCTTGTCCTCGTCACGGTCAGCGTTCTTCCGGTAGGCCAAGCCCAGCCCCCACACGGCCAAGATGCTGTAGACATTATCTCGGACCCAGGCGTCGGGGTGGTCGCAGCTGGCCGGAAGCAGCCCTGTAACGGGATTCTGGGGCCACAAGCGGAAGGGCAAGAAGGGCAGGGGGCTTAAACGGGAGGGCCAGAGACCAGCACAGGAGGTGGCAATTCAAGTGCGCCAGCCAGTTTCCATAGACACCCGCGATGGATGTCTGCTCCTTGTGATCCTGCGGCCACAGTCTGAGCAAGGCAGATCACGGTTGCCCAGGAGGTGCCTTTGATTTTGATCGTGCAGACCGAGGGGCCCCTGCAACCCTCTTTCCGAGGCTGCTGACCAAGCCAGCCTCCTCAGGACCACCCCAGAAGTTGCTCGGGCCAACATCTAGAGAGTCACCAGCAAACGGGGAGGGGGGAGATTCTGGGCCTGCTGGAGCTTGCTCAAAGTAACCCCACCCTTTCAAATGCTTTCACCCTTTCCATACATTCTGCCAAAGGGTCCAGCGTGGCTCCCCCGCCCCCCGTGGGCTGTGCCACCGGCTGCTCCAGCGCCTGACTACAGCTCTCCTGGTTGCCAACAGCCTCCTGGCATCCCTTCTGGGCTTGCTCTGCCAGCTTCCCCTTGCAGTTTGGGGAGCAGCGAAGCCTGGCACAGCTTCAGTCCCGTCCATTCAGGAGATGAGAAGAGCCTCTGGCCCCTCTTGCTCCCTTGGGAAAGGAGGCCTTCCTGAAGAGACCCCCAGTGGGACCCCTCCCCAGGACTCTCTAACAGGGAGCCAGTGTCACCTGGCACTTAGCATCAGCCAACTGTGGCACCAGGAAAACGAGCCTGTTGGAAACAAAACCCTTGGCAAAAGGCCAAACGGGGATGGGCATTCTTAGGCAGTTCCTCTTCCATCTCCAAGGGAGACTCCACTGGTTTCACAAGGGCTGGCTTGACAGGAGGGGCCACTGAGGTAAAAGTGCCCCCCCCCCCCCCTCCGGGGAGGACACGGGGGGGGGAAGACTGGGGGGGGGGCCCCCCCCCCCCCCCCCCCCCGACCGCGGCTGCCACCTTTGTGCCCCGAGCCTTCTCTGGCCGTGCGGGGATTCCAGGTCCCGTCGGCCCAGGCTGCGCAGCCCCAGAGCGAGCAGCTGAGGGCAACTTCAGGCTCGCTTTGGAGGCCGGGAATCGGAAGGTGCGCGGCGGCCGCCCGGAGGAGGCTGGCGAGGTTGGCTCGCTCGCTCGCTCGCTGCCCCCGAGGGCTCACCTGGTGCCCGAGGACGGTCTGTTGCACCAAACGGGCGTAGCCATCGAGCCGCACCCCGGAGTTGCTCCTGCTCCGCATGGTTGTGCTCCTCGGCCCCGCCGCGGCTGCCTCTCCGGAGCTCCGCCGCTCGCCCGGCACGGCCCGCTCCGCCCAGGGGCCGCCCCCGCTCCCGCCGCCCCTCCCTCCTGGCACCGGCTGGAAGTCCCCCTGCGCGCCGCCGCCGCCGCCCCAGCGGAGAAAGGGTGAGCTGCGGCTCCCGGGCGGTCCTGGAAGCCCTGCAGCCGCCGGCAGGTTTCGCCTTCCCGCTCGCCTTGGGGAGGGAGGAAGATGCCCCCCGGCGCTCCTCAGCGAGCGCGGAACGAGGAACCCGACGTAGCCGAGACCCGGCTCCAGCGGCTCGCGCGGCGGCCTGTTGCGGGCCCGCGAGGCCCGGCGCCCTTTCGGAAGTTTACTTCTTGGGGGCCGGCGGAGAGGAGGCGCGCGCGCGCCGCCTGCTGCCGAGAGCGGGAACTGAGAGGGCTCGGTCGGCTATGTTGATGGGCTCTTGTTACCGACGGGTATCCTCCCCCGCGGAGTCCCTTCCCTCCTCTCTTCCCTGAAAAGCCTTGCAATGATTTCCCTTGCTTTTAGCCCACCTCTGCAACGTTGTTTTGACATTTATTTCTGACACTGAAGTATGAGGGTTTTGTCCAATTTGAGCCATCTGCAAATTGGATAAGCAACATGTTCCTCAAATGTTCTTGCTACTGATAGTCTGCATTTTGGGACGGAACATTTCACCCTCACAAGCCATTATGTGCTTAATAGGGGAAATAGTGAATGGCTCGCCCTCTGCAGCCGGATGGCAGCCCGACTCTGGGGCCTCCAGGGAAGCCGACCCAGAGAGCCAAAGAGAGACTCCACTCCTCGGGATGCCTCTTCCAGCTGGGACTGCTAATCTTTTGGGGAGTTGGAATTACACCCAGTTGCCAGTTGGAAACATGCTGGGCAGGCGGTGTTGCTCTGCATCAATTCCTGCTTGGCCCTGCAGTGCCCCAGATCAGCAGCCCTACTGGGAAGAGAGGAACAGCAACTGGTGGCAAACGCTTGGGCTGCCTGGGTGGCTGCAGAGAAGTACCTACTAGCCACGAGTTAGGGAGTGGCTGATTCTATGCTGCAAACGCGACAATCGCCTGGTGTGGGAGCTGGATTGTGGGTCAGGTGGGCCAGTCTGGGCTCCTCCCCCTTCCCTTGTCCAGTGCCAAATTTTTCTTCCCCAAATGAGAGGCTGGATTCATCTTTAGCAAAACAGAAACTATCTTTATATTGCAGGATCTCATTTAAATACACCGTTCAATAAATAGAAAGTTTTTCCAAGTTATGGCAGTTTTTTCAGGCCAGGTAGGCGACAAGTGCAAAGAAATAAGGGGGAAGAGAAAGACAACACACCCCTAAACCCCTCTCCCTTGGTTTGAAAGGCCCCTTTGCTTCCAAAACAGCCTCCAGCGGGCTCTTCCTCCACCTGAAAGTCTTCTTTTCAAATTCTTCTGGGAATTCACTGCTTGGCCTCTCACAGGGTTGCAGGTGTGAGTGGGCCTTTATTTGCAGAGTGAGAGGTACAAGCAGCAGCGCAAAGAACTGGCCACAGAGCAGCACCCCTCAAGCAGCAGGAACAGAAAAGGGAGGTTCGAGTAGTCCAGAGACCACACAGCTCTTGCTGGGGGAGGGGGCACTGGCTGGGGGGGGGGGGGGAAGGGGGCCTCGGGGGGGGGCAGGGGGGAAGAAACCTGTGGCTGCAGCACCTGCACACCCGTTTTCTTCGGACTGGACTGCAGGATAGAGCCACCCTGCTGGGCCGAAAGGGACAGTGGCCCCCGGCATCAAGATGCTCATGCAGGCCACGAGACAAGCGCTGGTGAGGGAGCCTTCCTGCCTCAGCATGACCCCAGGACAGCCCATCTTCACATCTCCTGCCTCCCGAGGCCCCACCTGCTCCACTGCACCCCTTCCCAGGAGGGCCAGCTGCGCTTCCTTCAACTGTTCTCCACCAAGTTCTGACAGGATGAAATCATTCCAGGAGTACCTGCATACTTTTTTCTGGTAAAAGAAGAGGAGGAGAACCTGCCAACCTGTGCATAAAAATCCTTTTGTAAAACAGCCCAACCAAGGTGCTAGTCCTCTGTGCCCCTCGGAAAGAAGAGACTTGGATCCAAGTGAAAACTTGCCAAATGCTTTAAAATCTGGATTCTCTCTCGGTGCAAGGCAGTGGGTGGGAGCGAGCGGAAGCCCAGGGAGGCGGGGCAGCTCACAGAGTTTGTTGTCAGGATGCTCACCGGCAGGTGCAGGACTTGGCGATCATGTCCTCGTACACCTTGAACAGGATGTTGTTATTCTGCTCAATCATGAGGACACCCACAGGGCTGTACTCGTGGGGCACGCAGGACGGGCGAGGGACGTTCGAGTCCACAAACTCATTGATCAGGTTCTGGACGATGGCGTGGTTGGGAGAGTTGTAGCCATAGCGCAAGACCCGGGGGCAGGTCCCCCTGCAGTACTGGGGCCGGTACGAGTGGGGGGCGATGATCCAGTGGTCCCAGCCCAGCTGGCGAAAGGTCACACGAAGCGGGTAGAGGGCACACGCGTTCTGCTTAGTGCTGGGGCCGTGGCGGCTGTAGCGGGGCAGGGAGAGGTCCAGCTTCTCAGCCCGGCGCATCCTGTGCCCACGGACAGAGCTCTGGGGGAGCTCCCCTCCCACGGGAGCCCGGAGGGGTGTCCAGGTGTCATTGAGGTAAAGCAGCAAGAAGGGATCCTCCAGGGAGGGGGGGGGTTCCCCCACCAGGCCCACGGGGAGAGCTCCAGGCCCAGTCCAGGAAGGCACAGGCGTGATGCAGGCGGAGAAGGTGGCTATTCTGGGCAGCCCAGGACCACGGCTGGAGGTGCGAGGAGAGGTCCAGTTCCACCCAGCTGTCCGCAGCAGGTGTGGCAGTGGAATTCTTCAGCAGAGCTGGGCTGATCATCACCTCCGGCAGGGCGCTTCCACCAGGGAGCAGAGTGGCTGTGCACCAGAGGGGACCGTGAGGCGAGGATGGACGCTGGATGTAGACAGCAACAGCTCGGACCAGGCGCTGGGCTGGCGCTTGCACTTCCAGGCGGTAGTCAAGGGCCCAGATGAACCAGGGGCCTGCTGGTACAAAGAAGGGGTCAGAACTGGAGCAGGAGAAGCTGCCCGGCCCAAGAGCCATCCTTAAGGCCCACACCTTCCTAAAGAACAGCCCCTGCCCATTTTCCTGTGATGCCATTTCCGCCATGGGGGTGGGCAGCATGGCACTTTGGGGGCATTCGCAATAAAAAAAATCTTAGGAGCTGCTTTCACCTCAGGACTTGCTGAGCAACCCCCCCCCCCCAATTCTGGAGGCCCTTATGAGAGAGTAGCAGCCCTCAGCCTGGGGGAGGCAGAGCCTTTGGAACAAGGACTCAGTCAGCGAGCCCCAGTCCAAAACTTCCCCTCACTGTGGTGTGCAAGAGGTGCCTGCGCTCATGCCCCCCTCGGTGCATGAAACACCTGGAAGCCGCCTTCCTGCTTGGAGGCAACTGGCCAGAGCAGCGTCACCCTGGCCAGGGCTGGCAGTCCGAACAGCAGGCTGGCAACTTCCCTGCAACCTGGGCAGCTGGCCCACCCATCTGCAGCCAGTGGAGCTGTGGGCTGGGCCTCCTCCGGCCAGCTGCCTGCTCGAGAGAGAGCCGAAGCCCAGCAGGCAGCCCTGGGCCTCCACCAGGACTTCCGACGGCCACGCCCTTCCACCAGTCAGTCCTGCCCAGCAGGCGCCCAGTCCCCGCTCCCGCAGCAGGCAGGCAGCCCCGGAGGGAGCGCCGGCCCCAGCTCACCTGCCGCAGCCTGGCGGGCCTTGGCCGAGGGCCGGACCAGGCGGATCGTGTTGCTGGAGAGTCGCCCGTCCCGGCGGGGCCGTCCGTGCGGGTCCGCCACGCTCCGGTAGAGGTTCCGCATGTAGCGCAGCGGCTGCCCGCTGACTCGCCTCCGGCTCAGACCGGGGAGCCAGGCTCGGGGGGGCGCCTGGCCCAGGAGCCTTTGCATCAGCGGCAGGGAAGGGGCCCCGGGGGCGGCGGGGGCGGCCGGCGCCTCTGAGCCTTGCGCTTCCCTCCCGCCTTCCAAAGGCAGCGCCAGGGGGAGGAGCAGCGCCAGCAGGAGAGAAGCGCTGCACGGCTCCAGCCCGGCCATGGCGGCCTCCGGCTGCGCTGAGGCGCGGGGTCACAAGGCAGGAGCCGGGCAGCCCGACGGGAGCATCGTCTCGGGGGGAGGGGACGGACGCAGCGAAGGCAGGGAGGCGGGCGAGCCTCGCAGTCCCAGGCGAGGCCCCCGAGCAGCCGCAGCCAGGCCAGCGGGTTGGGGAGCCGGAGCGGCTGCGCCGGGCTAAACAGCAGCGCGCCGCCGCCGCCGCCGCCGTTTAAAGGCGAGCCTCGCTCCACCTTAAAGGGCCGGAGGCGCCTGCTTTCAGGCTGCGGGGAGCCAGGTGGGCCGGGCGCTCAGGCCCCTCCTTGCCCCGCAGGGTCTCCCTCGCTTTGCTCGACGGCGTTCTGGCCCCGGAAGCCGCTGGCGCCGCCGCCCGACCTGGGAGGAAAGTCTTTGGAAAGGCGGCGCTCGTGGGGCAGCACCTTTCTCTGGCACCAGGCCCGGAGCAGGAATGGGAAGTCGCGCTCAGCTGCCCACCGGGAACTCTGGGATTTGGAGTCCAGGCACATCTGGAAAGCGCCCAGTTACTCCAGCTCCGCCTTGTGGCGGATATTTGTGATGACCTCCGATCAGCCCAAAGCGATGCCTTGGCCGTACTTGACCCACAACCAGAAGGGGCTTCCTTTGCTGGCGCTTCAACCGGCAGGAAGGAAGGTGGCCTGGGCTTGCATGTTGCATGCAGTGGGGTGGATTCCACTGAACAGGCCCGGCTGCCTGGAATCTCTGCCCTTCTTACATGCGGTGCGTCTGCCAGGCTCCTAATCATCTTGGCTCTTGGAAACACAGGAAAAAATCTTTGGTGCTAGCCCGCCTCTTCCTCTCCATCCTTTCCCACCTTCTGCAACTTCAGCTAAGTATACTTTGATCCCCAAAACACAATGCCAAAAAAATCCAGCTTTTATCATTTTGTGCAAAGTATTTTTACTGGCTTGGTGAATGAGGCACTTTTGTGTGTATATAAACCTGAGTGAAGTGGTGCCCTTCTGTGACTTGTTTTCAGCATTGGCTTCTACAGGGTGATTTAAAACTATCCTGTACAAACCACTGACAATGATCGTTCATTATCTGTGTAGGCCTTCAAAGGTATAAAGTCAAAGTTGTAAACAAAATAAAAAATCCTAGCCAAATGCATTGAACAGTGAACATAAAAGCAGGCGGAATAAAGCCCAGGTGGTGGGGTGGGGCTCAGACCCACAGGGGTAAAAGCATCGGAAGAAGGGAGCAAAGGAGGGTCTCGGGGCCTTTGGGGGCTCCCCTCTCTCCTCTCTTTTGCCCTGGCAAGGCAGACTGGAGCCTCCCGCCCCAGCTCCACTGGCACAGCCCTTCCCGCCCACTTCCACCCCTGGCACCAGCACTGCATTCCTGGGCAGGGAGTGTCTTTCTGCCTTTGGGCTGAACCCAAAATCCGAGAGGGGAGCAGGCTGAGCTAGCAACTAGAGAGCCTCCGTTCCCGACTGGGGCAGCGATCTAGGTCCAGAGCTTGGGCATCTGTCTCCCACAGCAGCCCAGGACTGGCGCCCCTCTTTCTCCAGGCGCCTCTCCTTCCACCTGAGGCTGCCAGAAGCTGATTCCCCCGAAGCCCCCAAGGGGTCTGGGCAGGACTGCTGCTGCTTCTGGGGCACCGGCTTTGTTTCCACGGGGGAAACTTGCTCTGCACCCAAAGAGGTCAGGCGGTTGGGTCCATCCAGGATTCGTCTTGACCACACCGCAGCCTTGGGAGCCTCTGAACAGCCCTGGGCCAAAGCAGGGGGGGCAGGTGAGCAAGGGGTTCAGGGGCAAAGAGCAGCGGGAGCAGAGGCACCCCACCAGGCTAGGGCAGCCAAGGGGATTCGGCAGCCGGAAGCAGCCCATTAGTCCTGCTGGGGCAGCAGAAAGTGATTTCCTCCCCACCACTGAATCTCTGGACGCCGGAGGGACTCCAAAGCCCAGAGTTCTGGACTTCCCAGTCATTTTGCAAACTTCCTGTTTTTTAACATAAAGCACGTCCTTGCCAACTTGCCGATGGGTTCTGCCAGGAGGGGGGATTTTGGTGCTCAGCCAAGCTCCTTCCCGGCACAAACAACAGTCCAAAAACTTGCTCTCAAGTCGGCATCTAATCCTCTTAAGTACATAAAGACAAACCTTATGCCTCTTATGTAGGCATGAAGCCAACTATGTGTCTGAAAAACCACAGAGGTCCACAGAGGGTTCTCCATAGATCAGCCGAGAAACACTCAGTCGCTGCAGCCCACAAAGTCTTTGGGACCCCTAAAGATCCGCTCAGATTGATCACAGCAGAACTTGGTGAAATGACTGGTTTTGGCAAATGTCTCTTCCCTCAGTCTCCTGGGTTTTGACCAGGAGAGCCATCAGGCTGACCTTCCTCCCCAGGCCACCCCATGGCCGGGATGAGCTCTCCAAGAGAGCAGCCAGCCTGAAGAAGGGTTCTCACCAGGACAATCCTAGAGCTCCCTTGAAAGCAGGCTGGAAAGAGCGGGGCGTGGGCTCTCTTCACAGGAGCCAAAGCAAGCCGTGTTATGGCCCAACATGGTGGCCTGGCTCTCCCGGCACATTTCTCTGCCTGCTGCCTTGCACCCCCAGCTGAGGAGTTCTCCCCCACCCCACCCCGATATTCCGGATAAAGGGCTGTCTCACCCAAGCAGCCTGCAGGAGAAGGAGGGCAGCGCGAGGCCTGGCAGCTTCCCTGGCCTTGAAGGAGGCCGGTGAGGAGCTCCCTCAGCACAGGGAGGCAGTGAGAAGGGGGGCTGAGGTCGGCTTGCAGAGCCCCCCCCCCCCCAGCAATTGGCCCCCTGCTCACTTGGCTTGGCCACCCCGCAAACAAACAGGCAGGCATTCAGGTCCACTTCAGATTAACCTCAGAGGGCAACGAAGGACGAATGCCCCAGAGACTTTGCCAAGAGCGGCTGTCCCCAATTAATGGCCAAGACCCTTTTGCGGAGGGAGGTGGGGGATAAAGATCAGCCTCTCCCCATTCTAGGAAGGGCTGGAAGGAGCGCGGTGGGTCTAAGCACAGTCTGGCAAGAGGAGGATTAACCCTTCCCCACTCAGGCTCTGGGAAACCAGGAATTCTTCACTGGAGCTTGGCGGGGGCTACCCCACTTCTTCATCCAGAACATTGGGGTGCTATAGGCTGAAATATCACAGTGCCAACAATGGGGCAGCCTCCAGCCCTTGCACCAATGTTTCTGTCTCACGCACACCCCTCCCCTGCATAATCCCCTTCTGATCTAATACCTCTTGTGGCAGGGAGTTCCATGTAACACCTGAGGCTCCTGAAAACTATAGCATCCCACCCCCCTTTTCCTGCTACTCCTGGGCAACCCTTCACATGCACAGGTTGGGGTTATACATGCATGTATGCAGAGTGGGATTCAGCAGGTTCTGACTGGTTCTGGAGAACCAGTAGCAGAAATTTTGAGTAGTTAAGAGAATTGGCAAATCCCACCTCTGACTGGAGATTTCACAGTCTCCTTCCCCTGCCACGCCCACCAAGTCACGCCCACAGAACCGGTAGCAAAAAAAATTGAATCCCACCACTGCACATATGTGACAAAAGGCACCCGATGCTTGTAAGAAGCAACTCCAGGACGGAGCCAGTCTGGGCACTGGCCAAGGCCCCAGGAGAATGGCGGTTGCTTCTGCCTTGTGGCTCCAAAGGGCTGCCCAGTATTCCCCACCCCCAGCACAGTCCCCAGCCCTCTTGCGCTGAAGGAGATGTGGAGACTTTGACAGCATATTTTCTCCTCCTCCACGCAAATCTGGAGACAATCCCTGCTCGCCAATGCCCAGGACTGTGGTGTTCTCAGAGCCAAAGGTGGCACCGACTGGAGCAGTTGGGGAACAAAGGAGCATTCTGGAGATGCCCGAATGTAACTCCTGCTGAAAGAAAGTTGGCAGCGCTGCCCCTGAGGGGCAGGCAGGGTGGCAAAACCAGTTTTCAGCGCTCAGCACCAACCCAGGAAGCTCTAAGCTACCAGCAAACCAAGCAATCTACTTGGCACCAGGGCTATCCTTGGAGGTAGGTGCACTGGAAGCGGGCAGAGTGCTTTTCAGCCTGGATCCGGAGGGCCAACTTCCTCTCTCGGCCTCGAGGTGCCTGAAAAGGCCCTACTAGGCACGAGAGCGGGCACAGGGGATCAGCCCCGCTGGCCCAGCTTCATCCCAAGCCTGCTCTTCGACTCCCTCCTCCATATCTTCGGCGTGCAGGGAGGCGAGGATGCGCTCGCCCGGAGCTCGTTTAAACCGGGCCGGCTTAACTTGCTCGCCCGCGGCAGCGGCCGGAACGGGCTCGGCCCCCGCCCAGCACAGGAGTCCGCGCGCCAAAACAGCCCAGCAGAGGAGGCGGAGCGGTTCCGCTGCTGGGGGCGCGCCTCGGCCGGGGCGTTGCAGGATCCGGGCCGGCCGGGAGCCTCCACTCGCCCGCGACACGCCCACCGGGGGCGCCTGCCGGTCCGCCCTCCAGCAGGCAGAGCTTAGCGCCGCGCCGCGTCCCGTCGAAGCCGAGCCCCGCCGCGGGTCAGGCCCGGCACAGGGAATGGTGCCATGGAGCGGCCGTCGGGACAACTGCAGCCCGACCCGTGCCCGCAGGCCAAGCTGGACACGAGCCGCCTGCTGGTCTCCTTCCAGTACCTGCACGTGCAGCTGGCTGGCGGCGCGCCCTGGGGCTTCACCCTGAGGGGCGGGCTGGAGCACGGCGAGCCGCTCATCGTCTCCAAGGTGAGTCTGCGGCGCAGGATCCCCGGGCAGCGCGGGCCAGGCCCTCCGCGCGGCTCCCTGCGCTGCGGGGTCCGGCGCGAGCCGCAGCTCTTTGTCTGCCTGCCTCGAGTCCGCCTTCCCGCCCAGGCGCCTCTCCCCCTCGCTGCCTGGGCGTTGCTCGCCCTCCCCCGGCGGCCCGCCTCGAGTCCTCCCCGCCCGGCTGGCCTGGAGCGCAGCGAGGGGCGGGGGGGCCCGGCTGGGCAGCGCTTCTGGGCCGCAGCGACGCTCCGAGACCTTCCCCCTCCCCGCCGTGAGACCTCCCCCCGCCCGGGGGCTGGCAAGTTGCTGAAGGGGCCACTGGGGACGAACTGCCCCTGTTCGACCGGATCGCCAGTGGCGGAGTCCGGTCTGGCGTCTCTCCCGAGCGGAGGGATGCCCGGGCCGCCTCCCTGAAGGACGGCGGGGGGCTCGGCTGGGCGCAGAGAAAAGCCGGTCGCCCGCCGAGGTCTCGCAGGGCTGGCG